CTTGATATAGCGAACTCTTGATATAACGAATTTTTTGAACAAATATAATAAAAATACTCTTGTTATAACGAATTGGCCAATCAAATCTCTTAAAATTTTTACTATAACCTTATAGCGAAATTGAAGTCTAAGATATAGAATTCATTATAACAAGAGTTAACTGTATGTATCTATTACTAATGAATACTCAGAAGATATTGATAATGATGAAAATGATAAATTTTTAGATCATCTTTTTAGTAAACAAAAAAAAGTAAAGAAAATAAAGTAGAGTTATATCTTAAAACTCCCTGAGCAGAATAGAAGTAAGATATTCTTCTTTGGTAAAAAGTATATTTTCAATAATAAGCTGTATAATTTTTAAATTATCAGCTAACAAATATAGTATTTCTAGACACACAAAATGACATTTTCAAATTTAGCCAAAATGACTAGAAATTATCTTACTATTACAAGTAAATAGGTTTATTGCATATAATTATTAATAATAATACTATTAAGCATTAACTAATAAACTAATTTTATTCAAGCTACAAGTGTTCCAGTAAAATGAATATTTTTGGTAGAGCTGATTTAGTAGCAATAAAAAGAAGCAACCTTAAAATACATACTATTTGTGTGTGTATATATTTGAAATCTTGGTAAGCATAAAAGTTATTCAGACTAAAGATGGCGTTGCAATATTGTGATACTTATTTGTCACCTGTTGTAACCCAAATTTAATAATATTGCAATTTGTTGCAACATTGTGATGCTTATTTGTCACCTGTTACAACTAATTGAGGTGCTATCTTTAATTTAGACTGGTCAATTTAATTGAATAAATAAAAAAATATTATTAAAGTGTAAATTATCAATTAATTTTACTATTATTTTGCCAAACATAATAAAATTTATATAATTCAGTTTAACTCAGGTTATTCGAGTTAAATTACAATCAAATTGAGTCAAATTTGGTTACATAATTAATTAATCTGAAAATTTGAGTTGAGTTATATGAATATTCAAGTCAAGTTCAAATATCCTCTCAAATCAGACTTAATCTGACCCATATAGAGTACTATTCTCTTACACATTAATATACAGTTTTTTTACTTCCTTTAGATTACCAAATAGTAAAATTAGTATCAGATATTACTATTTTTAGATAGTTCCTTTTGCTTTAGTTCTAATATTCACATCTGCTTGAGATTTTTTTATAATGAACCTTAAAATGATTACTTTCTAATTTTTTTAAATATTTCTGGATTGTATGATTGGATTTGAATGAAAGATTAACACAAACTCTTATCTGACCCCATTATGCTAGAAATTAGAGCAAAAAATTATAATTAAACTATCACTCACCTTATAATAAAAACTAACGAACACTACTTAGCAACTATAATAAATAGTTTATTAACTCTCCTATAGAGTTTAGCAAATAAACTTCATTAAATAATAACAAAAAACAAAAAGTTTTTTCAAAAAACATGAAAACTCCCCTTCTAATAATGTTTCCAAAATTGTGGAAAAGGTTATTCTCACTAAAAGCACTAATGAAGTACCTTCTAATACTATCAGTAAGAATACTACTAAAAATATAGAAATGGATATTGATAATACTACTACTTTAGCTTTTAACTTAAAAACAATAATATAACAAATAATACAACAAATTTTTTTCTTATTATAAACAGCTCTATACATGCAAATCAACAAATACAAAATAATACCAACGAATCAAATAGTGTGAAAATAATAACTTCTACTACTAAAAGAAAAAATAAACAAACTTAGTCCAATAAAGTAAACAAAGCGATAGCTTCTTCTTTACATCACATAAATATAAAAGATCAATATTTCAATATTATTACTACACTTATATAATTTTATGCAACTGATAATATAGCTAACATAAAAAAAAGTTTATTGCAGAAAAATGTAATTTTATCAACACTCTCTTTATTCACTTTACTAGTTTTCAAGAATCAAATTACATTTTTAAAAATAGAAAATTTATCATTTATTTTGATACTCTAGAAAATTTAATACATACTGTCATAAAGATACAAGAAATACAGCATAATCTAATCTTCTTAATTGTAGATCCTAATGCTAAACAAATAAAGATTGATGCTAAAAAAGATCACACAATCAAAGTTTTCTTTTTTTTAAATCTGAAGTAGTTAGAAACTTCTTTTCTAAATTTAGTATGATCACCCACTTTTCCATAATTATCAGAATATCCTGGCAAATTGCCTTCATCATATATAAATATAGTAATACAATTAAAACCTTTTATAATGAATATTGATCTATTTCTTTTCTCTAATTTGCACTAAAAGTTGAATCAACTGACTTAAACCCTATACAAACTACTCTCCATTAATAATTTGAACTTAAGCTTATTAGCTTACCCTTTAATATAAATCAAAGATCCTTATATAACTTTTTAACTAACATCAAAGCTAAATCTTGCTTTATTCCTCATGACACATAATATCATTTAAAATTATACACATTTATTAATTTTGCATTCTTAAAAGATATGAATACAGCCGCTACTTAATAATACAAATTCAAGGGTAATATACTTTACTGAATGGATCTAACTGATAAATATTATAGAAAATGCAGATTACCAGATCATGAAATCAATGATTACTTTAAAAAAGACCCATCTAATCCTTACAAATCTCTTTATAATTACTTCAAATCTGAAAAATATAGACCTTTATACCCTTATATATTTGTTAATACTCAAGACAACTTTTTATATGCAGATGCTATTAAATCAAAATCACTTATTTACAACAAATAACTATTAAATTCAATATCTGATCAACTATCATCATCCTTTAATTATTCAGAAGTAATTTTCACACTAACCAAAAAAGTTAAAGATTTAGAAAATAATTTTAAGCTTCTCTCTAATATACTTAATGACATCAAAGAAGAAGTCTTAACTCAATAAAGAAATCAAGAAGATATAGACCACTGTCTTACCAGACTCAAACTCTTTACAAATATTCTAGAAGAGGATGATGATGTAGTATTACTTGACTAAACTATTACTAAAGAACCATTATATTAACATCCAAATCCTAATGATAAAATCCTCCAATATCTGATAGTATTACTATGAATATAGAAGACCCTTCAAATAAATTAGCCAATCCATCAAACTTGAAAAATCTATCAGACTGTCTCAACTTATTGAATGTAATATTTCTCAACTTCAGTTCTCAAATGCAAATATTAAAACAACATATATATACAAATAAAAATACTTACATACAGGAACATTTTCAGTCTTTTTTGCTAACACAGTAATAACTAGTTACCATACGTTTAATTTTTATAGTTAGGTGATAATAGTAATTTTACTAGTGATTATTACCAGTGCCTAACAGGACAACTGGTTAGTCTAGTAAAATAGGATTTTATGACTTTTTTTTTATTAAGCAGCTTTTTTTATTTTTCTACATCTGTATCTCCTTAGAGGATTTTCATATAAAATTTTACTGAAAATCATTATTCTTAATAAATAAAAGCATTACCACGTCTTTAAAAAAAAATGTGATTAAATTTAGATATTTATACTTATCTAAAAGATCAAAATCTACCACATCTACATATCAAATTTGATAGGAACTGGATTGGTAGATGTTGAGATATTCACGTTTAAAGTTCATTACAGCACATCAAAATTTTGCATTTTTTTTTACTAACTCTCAAAGCTAATTTAGCATTTTGTGATCTAATTTTGATGGATTTTAGCTTATTTTGAAGCTCTCATAAGACTTAATCTAGTTGTAATTGAATTAGCATTTTATGATCTATAGATCACATTATCGCTTCACTTTAAGGATTTTAAAAATTTGCAGCTTAAATAATTGATTGTGAACACTCATAGGTAACCCTATTTTCTTATATATTAATATATAGTTTTCTCACTTCTTTTAAGTTCTTAGATAGTAAAATAATGTTAAGCATCACTACTTTTTAGACAGTTTCTTTTGCTACAGTTTCAGTATTCACACCTGCTTAAAATTCTTCTATGATAAATCTCAAAATAATTGTTTTCTGATTTTCTCAAATATCTCTGGATTATGTGATTAAATTTGAATATAGATCGACACTAAATCTCACCTACAGCTATTATGCCAGAAACCAGAGCAAATAATTATAACAAAAAAACTTCTTACGTTCCAAAAAATAACAAAAGAGTCCAACAAAAAAACAGTGCCAGATATTTTACTAGCTCTCTCGTAAATATAAATGAACAAACTTTATTAGAAACTCCCTTTATAAATAATAAAAAACAAAAAATAACTACTGAAACTATGGATATTTCTTTCCCAAAAGTTATTAATGAAGTCATTGAAAACATTATCCTGTCTACTGACAATAACAACCAAACACTTTCCAACACTAGAAATGACAATACAACTAATACTTTCAATATAGAAATAGATAACATAGTTTTCTCGACTTTTAACTCTACAGAAAAAATATAAAATATTCCTCTCCAAACTGCAAAAGACTCTATACATGCAAAATAAATAAACAATACTAACGAATCAAAATCAACGAAAAATTCTTCTACTTCTAAAGTAAAAAGCAAACAAACTTGATCAGATGAAATGGACGAAGCTGAAGCTTCTACTTCTAATAGCAAGAATGCGAATAATCGACAATTCAATATCATTACTGCGCTTACTAGATTTTACGCTACTGATAACGCAACAGATATAAAAGGAAAATCTGTCGCTAAAACAAAATTTCATCAATGCACTTTTTATTCACTTTAATGGTTTCCAAAGATTAAATTATCTTTTCAAAATAGAAAATTTATCATTTATTTTGACAGTTTAGAAAACTTAACACATGCTGTTACAAACGTACAGAAGATACAACATAATCCGGTCTTCTTAGTTGCTGATCCTAACGCTAAACAACTAAAATTAGATGTAGAAAAAAGTCACACCATTAATGCTCTGAACGGTTCGGTTCAGTCCAGATTATAGGCCAATCCGAAACCGAACCAAAAATTCCAGTTTGGTTCAGTTCGGATTATAAATCTTAAAAATGCCAATCTGAAACTGAACTGAACCGTAAACTGGTAAAAATCCGAACTGAACTGAAAATTTCAGATTAATCTGAAAGTTCAGTTTAATATATTCAAATCTCGAAGGGAACCTAATGTGCGATTCTCTAAAGAGTTTCGCAATTATTTCGCAATTCCCTTAGAGTTTCGCAAGTAATTTGCGATCCTTTTAGAGTTTCGCAATTACTTTGCGATTCCTCTTGGAGTTTCACAAGTAATTTGCGATTCTCTTAAGAGATTCACAATTACTTTGCAATTCCCTTGGAGTTTCGCAAGTAATTTGCGATTCTCTTAAGAGTTTTGCAATTACTTTGTGATTCCCTTAGAGTTTCGCAAGTAATTTGCGATTCTCTTAAGAGTTTTGCAATTACTTTGCGATTCCCTTAGAGTTTCACAAGTAATTTGCGAATCTCTTAGAGTTTCGCAATTACTTTGTGATTTCTCTTAGAGTTTCGCAAGTAATTTGCGATTCTCTTAGAGTTTCGCAATTACTTTGCGATTCCCTTGGAGTTTCGCAAGTAATTTGTGATCCTCTTAGAGTTTCGCAATTACTTTGCGATTCCCCTTAGAGTTTCGCAAGTTATTTGCGATTCCCCTTGGAGTTTCGCAAGTTATTTGCGATTCTCTTAAGAGATTCGCAATTACTTTGCGATTCCCTTGGAGTTTCGCAAGTAATTTGTGATTCTCTTAAGAGATTCGCAATTACTTTACGATTCCCTTAAAATTTCGCAAGTAATTTGCGAATCTCTTAGAGTTTCGCAAATTACTTGCGAAACTCCAAGGAAATCGCGAAATAATTGTGAAACTCTTTAGAGAATCGCACATTAGGTTCTCTTCAAGATTCGAATATATCGAACTAAACTTTCAGATTAATCCGAAATTTTCAGTTCAGTTCAGATTTTTTTCAGTTCGGATTAGATTTGTAATCCGAAAAAAATCTGAACTAAACTGAAAATTTTCAGATTAATCCGAACCGTTCAGAGCTTTACACACCATCAAAGTATCAGACATTTCCCTTTTTTTTAAGTCTGAAGTCATACGAAATTTCTTTGCCAAATTTGAAACGATCACTCATTTTTCCATGATTGTTAGGGGACCCTGGCAGATTGCATTTATCGTATATAAAAATAATGATGATATCAAACAATTTTATAATGAAACTTGGTCTGTGTCCTTTTTAGAATTTGCTTTAAGAATAGAACCTACTGACCTTGATCCAATGCAAATCACATTACGTCAACAATTTAAGTTTAAACTTACTGGACTTCCATTAAACACTGATTAATGTTCCTTACAAGAATTTCTAACTCAAATTAAAGCTAAATCATGCTTCATTTCTAGAGATCAACAATATTGATTAAGATCTTACGTATTCATTAATTTTGCTACTACAGAAGATTTAGACGCTACTGCCACTTAACATCACAAATTTAAAGGAAATGTTTTATACTGGATAGACCCTACCGATAAATATTGTAGGAAATGTGGATCATCTAATCATGAAATCAAAGGTTGCTTAAAAAGAGGCCCCACTAATCCTTATAAACCTCTTTATGAACGCTTTAAGCCTGAACAATATAGACCTTCTCGTTTTCGTCAAAATCTAAAATTTCAGAACAATTTCTCTTATGCTAATACTATTAAATCTAAACTGAATGTTAACAATACGTCATCACCTCTTAAAGAAAACACCAACAGAAACTCCAATAATTCTTCTAATACAGTTGACGCTATTCACTCTTTAATATTCAAAATAGACGATATTGACAACAAACTTGTACTTCTTTCAGATGAAATTATTTCTATTTAAAATGAAGTCCTCCAACAATATCATAATCAAGGCGACATTGACTACCATTTTTCTAGACTTGAGATATTTACTCAGATTTCTGATAATGATGATGAAAAACTATTAATAGATATAGGTGACAAACAAATCCAACATACACCTAAAAATATACTTACAAACGATAAACAATCCTTGATAGCAGATAAACCTAAAGATACCGTCCAAAACTCTAATATTGACAATATTATAACACTATAAAAAGACAAAATTGCTATCCTAACGTATTACACAGGTTGAACATGAACTTGAAAATCTCAAATCTGAACTTAAATCAATCTCATTAGTATTATACTAAGCTTTACCTACGATTAACTCATTTCAATGATTAATAATAATAAATCATATAATATCGTAGAAATGACTTCATCATATCCTACTAATAATAATAATTATAATACAAATGCCTCTTCCTCTTCATTATATAATAATCCAAACTTTCTTTCTATTGTTACCCATAATATTAGAAACTGTTCTGCTGATAACAAATTACAACAAATAGAAGCCTTTTTTACAAACTTAAATTTTGACATAATAGGACTTAGTGAAACTCATCTCTCATACAATCAAGCTTGTTTTCTCAACAAAAATAGTCATAACAAATAGTACAAATTTTTCTTTTATAGTGCAAATAGAGATTTTAACTGTCAGGGAATAGGACTAATCATTAAAAATAATTTATGCAGACATATTTTTAATCAGGGATCTTTTTATGATAGAATACTATACATTGACCTTTAATTCAGAAAGAAATTCAAACTCCGAATTATTCAAGTCTACCTACCAGCTACCTATAGAGACAAAAAATCTTTCAATTATATAATACAAATTCAAAACAAGCTTATAGATATATTAATACAGAGTCGCAGAAATAATTTTCACGTTATTTTAATGAAAGATTTTAACATTGACATTTTAAAAAATTATCATTCTAAATGCCAAAGAGTATTACAAAACTATCTTCATCAAATCATTAATCTAGGCTTTATTCACACTATTTCTCCTTTCTTATCATCATACCTGGCCACTTTTAAATCCACCTCAAATTCATGTTACTCATATTTAGATTATATATTTCTATTCTTCAACCTCACACACAACCTTTCATCTTTCAATATTCTCAATGATTTATCCTTTTTATACTCCTCTGATTATTTACCCTTTTTATCACCATTTATAAAAAAAATTTTTTAACTAATGTTTAACGTATACCTTAAATAACATAAAGTCACAAAACAAACATTTATGTATCATAAACTACATTTTTACACTGGGATCTTTTCTCAGACAAGACTGACCTACTTCTAAAATCAAACTCACTTTATGCAAATTGCACAATTGAGAATATTGCTATTTCTCCAAATTTATTAAACGCCGCCTGGGAATTCTTTTCTCATACTGTCATTATCTCTGCAAAAAAAATATTCTAAAACAAACAACTACTCACCAACACAAATCTTTATATACCATGCTAACTCTTCCATTCATAGACATATCAAGTCACTCTATAAATATTATTACAAATTGAAAAAATCCCTTGACACTAACCACAACAACAACCTGTCAATTTTTCTGCTTACAAGTACTGAATATCAAAACCTCATAAAGATAGCTGGACATTACTTACTGTCAACTACTTCAATTGATAATTATTTTGATAATGAGAAGTTAGTTATATATATGAATGAATTAAAATATGACATCATCAAACCCATTCAAGCAAAACAACAAATCATATCTAGATAAGAAAATAACGAACGTATACTTCAATTTCTCAAACAAAGGAATGATAACTTAAAAGATACTCTAACTAAAATGATTGATTCATATCTAGAAAGAGATAGAAAAGCTATTATAATAGATCACCTTTTCATCAATAAAGACTCTTCTGATCAATATTTAGAATTATCACCAGAAAATATTAAGAAACATACAGCTAATTACTTTCAGACAGTAGCAGGTTCTTGTAACAGAGAAGTTACTGACAACATGACCTCTGACTTCAATCTCACATGGAATGACTGGCAACCCTTTTACAATCAAATTGATGATATTGATAGTAACATCTATAATGACCTGATTACACTTCCTTCAATTGATGAATGGCTTACCATTATCAAACACCTTTCTGATCATAAAGCTACTAGTATTTCGCAAATTTCTAATGAAATATTGAAAAATCTTAGCCCTAAAATGAACAACTTTCTGTATAACATTATTTGTAGTTGTCTAATCAGCTCAAACATACCTTTCCAGTGGAATTTAGTATATATATATCCTATCCCTAAACCAAAACCATAGAACTGTAATCTTAATAACACTAGACCAATTACTTTATTAGATACTGTCAGAAAAGTATTTGTTAAACTCCTGAATCAATGTCTTCAAAATACATTTATTAAACACAATATTATCAAAGGTCTTAATTTTACAGGTTTATCTCATCAATCAACCCTCGAACTACTTCATATTGTGAATAATATTCTTGAATTTCATCATCTTAACAAAAAATTACAACATCAAAATCAAAATCATTTATATATGCTTTTTCAAGATATGTCTAA